CACAAAACATACTTACCGTGGTATTACTTGCTCTATATTCTATTAGCATTCTAAACCTTCACATCGTTGGTATAAAGCGGTAAATCAATAAATCATGGTTTAGAATTGAACATTATATAAATACTACTATTTAATTACTACTATTTTACTGGTGGCAGGACCTCTTGTGAGTCCACGTGGGTGGGTACCACCATCCTGCCTATTTCTGCCGTGAAGCAGTAATTCGTTTCGGTTTGAAGGGTAGGGCAGCCGTTGTAACTATACTTGAGACCTTAGAACTTATACCTCAAAGTGGCTGGCGCATTTACGTCGTAAATGTATATGGGCTCCAGTAACCACTTAACACCAGGTGGGCTGTGAGCTCGTCCACTCATCTAGCAATAAAAATAAATAAAAAAAAGTAGTAAAACCCGGCCCGATTTGCTGGCCGATCTTTGATTTAACTTTGATGCGATCACTACCAAATTTCACAGGATCACCTGATGGTAAGTGGTTACCGTCGTCCATGGACGTCAGCAATGCCAGGGGCACAGCCGAGCCGCTGCTTACAAATGTTTTTGCTATTCTGAGAGACGGTTGCAACGCAATGCAGAAGCTGTTTTTTCCCCCCTACCTAATCGTCGGTAGCCTAAGGGGCTATTCCAACTTCACGCAGACCGGTAGGTGAGCTCACGGGTTTAACCTGAGAGTATTGCTAAAACTAGCCCTAGCAAGAGCAGTACTTCGCTGAATCTACTTCTGCATCGAAATCGCGACCCACTGAGATGATCCGGCGAGAAACTCAGTGGGTTGTGTCTATGGGCTAATTCGCACGTCGAACTCTTCGTCGGAGTCAACAAGTTCGACGAGGAGTTCGACGTGGTTCGACGAGTTCGAGTTCGAGGTGACCGGTGCTTGAAGAGACTTAAAGCACTGAAAGCGGATCCAGGGGATCAGACAAGACATGTTTTGGGCGAGGGCGGGAAGGATAGTTTATCAGCTTAACATAGACACGACAGGATCATAAATTACCTTAAACAATTTATCTAAACAAATAAAGTACGGCTCGATACGCCAAATATCAATCGATACGATAAATACATACAATTACGTATCAAAACTAATTTTGTTCAACCCTATAATGCTTTTGATCTTACCAATGCTCAAAAGAGAGAATCTCATTTTCATACCAATCAGAAACTCATTTAAACGAACCGACTCACTTCAAATGTGACCTCAATTTAATCGCAGAACTCGAATTATCTGTATTATTAACTCAATATTAAAAAGCACGTGAGTAATACAAACCAAACATGTGTAATAAATATGATATGTACGTCTCAATAAGGAAACATTACGTTGTGATAATACACGTTCTGTGTTCGTCTATTTGTCAATAACGTTGCGAAATTACCGCCGATTGTAATGTACAAACGTAAATAGTACTAGCTTTTTAATGACATTTATTACTTGCTAATGAAATCCTGTCCCTCAAGTGTTATTTAAATTTTGTTAAAACTGCGTTGATGCTCTACCCTATGACAAGAACTTTCCCTGCAGATATAAGGACATAAGGTACCGTGTACTCTCCTCGTCCTCCTTGCGTCGGTTTCCTCATTACTGAGGGTCGTGGTCATGGCCTTGAAACAGTTTGTTTTTTATAGAGTACCGCCATCTGTTCCTATCTGCAGCTGAGTGCAGAGCATCGTGCACTGTGGTATCCAGGGCTGCACGAATCTGGTCCGCCCAACGGGTCGGGTTCCTGCCTCTTGGTCGCTTGCCCTCGACCTTTCCAGTGACCACCAATTTCTCCAAGTTATTGTCTTTCCTTGCGATGTGGCCAAAGTATTCAAGTATCCTTCGCATGCAAATGGTGGAGAGTCTAGTCCGGATCTTCAACTGAGCTAGGATGGATACATTGTACCGTGTACTATTTCCAACGAATTCTGATTAATGATTTAGTAACACAATCTTCTATAGAAGACGAACCGCATAGAACCTTTCTTATTTTTATTAGTATTGGCCCAGTGATAGAATTTTATAATCACTGACACTTCAAGATTTAGGTCATTCATTGTCTCTTCTTTGTTGGTTTGTCGTATTTTCTTTCTTCTCGTATTAGCCTCCCTGATATGTAATGGTTGCTGAAGCCCATAGACATCAACAACGTAAATGCCGCTATCCACCTTGATACCTACATGAGTTCAAAGTCTCAGTTTAATAGTACAACGACTGCTCCAGCCTTTAAACCGAAACGTATTACTGCTACACAGCAGAAATAGGACCGGGCCGGAGCACAGTCGGGGCTATTGAGACGGCCGGTTAGGCTTTACGCAAAGCATATTACATCCATCCCACCGTCCTCAATGTATCTGGTCCTAGGTAATATTCTATGTTCGCACACTGAAGTTCAAAATCTTGAGACTTTCAACTCAAGTTTCAAGGTGAGCGACGACTTCCAACTCACGATGTCTATGGACTCCTAAAATAACACAACCGAATGACCGTGACCTTGTCTGCCTATATATTGTTACGCCGGTAAGAGTAACGCCATCTATCGCCGAATAGTCGAACTAATATGGAAGGATCTAGTAGCACCCAGGATGCTCGATAATTACAACGCCATCTATTGACAGATAGCGGAAACTACCACTAGAGATGTGTAGAATATTCTTGATAATTCTAGGGATGAGGTATCGGCTATAAAAGCGTTGTAGAGATGGCACGCAGTCAGTCAGTAATCGGAACTACTCGAAGCGAAACAGCGAACGGATCCCCTGAAGCGAAGCGGAACAAGCGAAATTAAAGTGTTCGTTGAGTGTTTTCAAGTGTTTGTGAAATGTTTAATACAGTTTTTAAGTTGTACTTTGGTGAAATTTTATTTATCTCGAACCCCAGCGCGTAACAATATTGTAATAAAGACTTATTAGTGATATTATTACATGACCAATCTCATTATTCCAAATGAACCAAAAAAATTAATCTAAAGATATTCGATCCAAGCAGTTCGCGTTACAGGTAACATGAACCTTGAACCTTGGACGGCGGTATCAATGTTACGGCTCTCGAAGCCTCTCCTCGGTTTCCTGAGCCCATCTATAACGGTAATTCTAAAAATTACTGTCACAACTCCTTTTAGTCATCGATTCGCTATTTGTTGCTTTACCGTTTCCTGTTTTAAAAGGCAGCGGTCGAACGGTGACCGTTGTGATTTGTGCATTAATTCGGACGTGTTGGTAACAGTTTACTGGTGGTAGGACCTCTTGTGAGTCCGCGCGGGTGGGTACCACCACCCTGCCTATTTCTGCCGTGAAGCAGTAATGCGTTTCGGTTTGAAGAGTGGGGCAGCCGTCGTTACTAAGAGACCTTAGAACTTGTATCTCAAGGTGGGTGGCGCATTTACGTTGTGGATGTCTATGGGCTCCAGTTACCACTTAACACCAGGTGGGCTGTGAGCTCGTCCACCCATCTAAGCAATAAAAAAAAGTTTTTTTTTAATGCATTTATTATTAACATAGAAGTAGAAACACAATCATAATTTGCATCTGTGCTTGAACTAGGTGATAGGTGATAAAACCTGTATCTCAGCATATGATTCGCTCATACCTGTACCGGGTATGAGCGAATCATATGCTTAAACGAATTGGATTGTGGTAATTCTTGATAAGTTAAAGAGGAACATTCTCTACCATATTTAGTAAATTTGTGAATCGTGCTCCCAAAACTAAACCCATTCTGGTGTTGCTAATCGATTCCAAAACTGGACTTCGGGGTTATTCGAAAATTTGTCGACAGTAGGTACGCGGCTTTCTCTCATTATAACTGTTAAGGCACTTTTAGGCCCGACTGGTGTTAGGGGATTACTAGAGACCAGAGATGCCCGCAACATTGAATGATTATGAAGTCGTCGTGGCCTAAAGGATAAGACGTCAGGTGCATTCGTGTTGAGCGATGCACCGGTGTTCGAATCTCAGACGGGTACCAATTTTTCTAATAAAATACGTACTCCACAAATGTTCACGATTGACTTCCACGGTGAAGGAATAACATCGTGTAATAAAAATCAAAGCCGCAAAATTATAATTTGCGTAATTACTGGTGGTAGGACCTCTTGTGAGGCCACGCGGGTATGTACCACCACTCTGCCTATTTCTGCCGTGAAACAGTAATGCGTAAGGGTGGGACAGTCGTTGTGAGACCTTAGAACTTATATCTCAAGGTGGGTGGCGCATTTACGTTGTAGATACAAATCCAGTAACCACAGGGCTCCAGTAACCACTTAACATCAGGTGGGCTGTGGCTCTTCCGCCCAATCAAGGCAATAAAAAAAAAAAACTGCTTAGCAGGATTACAGTACGACCTATCTATATTTTAACTGTTGTTAAAAGCTATCATTAATTCCTTGGAAATGTTTTGATTTAACTGTTTGTTTGTAAGTATACTGTATAATTAATAAATACATAAATAACGAATTGACAGATTTAAACATATATGCTTAAATTCTGCGAGGCAAGTGGACTTAAAATCAATATGATTATCCTTCTTTTTTTTTCGGGACAATTTTTCTATTTATCATTTTTCGTCATTAGTGCCGTGTGGATTTTTCAAACGTCATTACGTCAAACGATATTACACCAAAATGTCGCATACTTGATTGTAGCTTTGAAATAAAACCAGAAAAAAATAATTTTATAAATTTGGTGTTGGCAATGAATAATTAATGTTAATTTAGATAAATTGCAGATATAATTGCGACGAGGATACGGCGAAGGACCTTTGATAACTCCGTATGGGACGGGAAGCGTCATGCCCTCATTGTCTAGCTAAGAGCAGACTTGTTGCTGCCAACCGTCTTGCCCGTAATGCTCGGCACCGACGTCGAAGAGACAGAGAGGCAGATCTCTTACCTTTTCGCACCGATCGATTGCTGGAATCCTAACATACTGCCTTTCGTAACCATAACTAATATTTTCTTACATTAAAATTCATTTTAACCCAACGTAAAATTTGTTTCCACTCACCGATTCTCTCCCGGTCCCAACTTGTTACTCTCGATAACAGCAGTGGCCCTGATCCTATGATCGGGCTGATCCAACAGTTTCTCACTACGGCCGTTGTTCAAATGCTCACGGGCAACACTGTACGCATCACTAATCACATCATTCACAACGCACACACTTAAATCTTTTTCGTCACTAAGTTCCTTCTTCTCGCTCTGATCGTTCTCGTGTTTTTCTCTCTCTTCTTCTATTGCCTCTTTGTTGTCGATTCCGTTCGTTATGACCGGTGTTGGTTTCGCTTGGAGAGCTTTAGGTTGAGATTTCGGCGATGATATAGTTGGCTTGCTTTCTATAGCACCGTTTTCGTTAATGGAAGTCACGTAGACCGTCGAATTGGCTATATACCCGTTTAGCTCAGGTCTGTTTTCTGGTTGAGTTCGTTTTCTTTTGTTTAACTGTAATAAAATAGTTATTTTAGTTAAAAAATAGGCAAAGTCCTTACGCAAAATTCCTTCAAGTGGTCGTAAGCTCATCTTCTCATCCACGCCAATAAAAAAGGTTAAGAAATGTGACAAAAAAGACATCGGACATATGACAAGGGTTTTATTTTGCAAAAATTAAATTCGTACCTCGATACATCTTGAACCACTTGACCGCTCGTAAAGTGTATTCATGGACTGTAAAAAAGCTTTGTCTCTTTTTTAGACATGACTATCGGACTTTTAGTACAATATAAATGTGAAAGTTTGTCAGGACGCAGATGGATGGATATTTCTTACTATTTCACTCAGAAACTACCAGAAAAATTCTGATTAGGCTTCACAACTTTATATTTATATCAGAATAGCAAAAACGCTAATAATACGAAGAACTGAAAAGTGGCGCGGCGCTTAGGCAGCATTTTTTTCCTACCTAATCGTTAGTAGCCTAAGGATCTATTCAAACTTCACGCGGACTAGTAGGTGAGCTCACGGGCTCAACCTGAGAATTGCTAACACTAGCTGAATCTACTACCAGATCGGAATCGCGACCCGCTGAGAAGATCCGGCGAGAAACTCAGTGGGTTCTATCTATAGGCTAGTTTGCACGTCAAACTCTTCGTCGGAGTCAACAAGTTCGACGAGGACGGTGACCGGTGCTTGAAGAGCCTAAAAGCACCGAGAGTGGATCCGGGGGATCCGACAAGACATGTTTTGGGTGACGGCGGCTTTGCTTTACCCCCTCGCCTGAGAGCAACTTAAACTATTTACCATTAGTAATAGCCGTTGCGGATCAGTCGGTTGTTGCTAGTGTCTAATAAATTCTTCTATATCGTTCCCTCACTGCTGAGGATCGCGACCACATACGACGTTCCTCCACTGTGTTAGATCATGGGTGGCATGGACCGCATGGTACACATTACCACCAAATGCTTCTCTTATAAATTCTCTCTGTCTCTTTTTAATCTATCTCTATCTCTCTCTCTCTAATCTTTAATAAATTAATGATATTTTATTAGTTAGGAACATGTCACATCATTCTTTTTAACATCCTAAATATAGGCCGAGAGATAGAGCATGGCCGATTGATCCATGAGCACGAAAATTCTAAGGTATTACGAAACGGTGGTAATAATATGAAAACAATAAATGCGAAATTAAATCTATGTAGTAAAACGAAAGTAGTTTTAATCATACCCTAAACATAATTGGTCTTATGAGAGCTCTTTATTGATTCAAGATAAGTTGGTGTTAATAAGTTCTGTATTGAACCTGCTCGGATAGGTATCCTAATCTATACTTAATATTATAAAGAGAAAGATTTATTGTTTGTATTGAATAGGCTCCGAAACTACTGAACCGATTTGAGAAATTCTTTCACTGTTTGGAATCTACACTATTCCCGAGTGACATAGGCTATAATCTTTTTTGAAAAAATTAGGGATTTTTATTAAAACTCCAATAATGTAACCCAAGATGTAAAAAAAATACCTAAAATATTCTTTATATCGCGTGCCCTGCGAAAACTATTGACTAGAATAAAGTAATGTACTGCGACTTTGTAGAACACATTATTATTTACAAAAAGTGTCGCGACAGCATATGTCTAACTATTATAGTTATGTCGCAATAAGTGTTCTTTGAGATTTGTATGTGCAATTAGCTGCACCTTACCATTACAATTTTTTAGACTGATACATATGATACCGGCCTTTATTTTTAACTATGAATAATTAAATTCTCCGTGTTTAGTCAAGTTTTTAATATTTAATAGTTGTGGGAAAATAACACAATGGAAATCTCATGATTGCTTTAAGTTCTTAGAAGTCGTTAAAGTAATTAAAATACAATTAGAAGTTCGTTGTTATTCAAAAGTATTTAAATTTACTTGTCTTTTTATCAAGCATCAGTTTATTGTCGTTTTGTTTTCGTCTCTTTGCATTGTATAAAAAAGGCCATTGGTATAATATACGGAGAATGTGCATTAACATAGCTACCTCAAGCTGAAAGTAGATCTGTGAAGAGCTTGTGAACTGAACAGCACTTATAGATTGCCAGAGTCACTAACCCCATAGACACAGCCCACTGAGTTTCTCGTTGGATCTTCTCTGTGGGTCGCGATTCCGATCCGGTGGTAGATTCTGTGAGGCACTGCTCTTGCTAGGGCTAGTGTTAGCAAATTCAGGTGTAGCCCGTGAGCTCACCTACCCGTCCGCGCCTAGCTCGAATAACCCCTTAGGTTACCAGCGAATAAGTAGCAGAAAATAAATAATAGTTTAAAAAAACAAAAAAAATACGCTTTTATAAAAAATTCAACTAAAAAATAGAAAATATATCTTAATAAATTTGAATTAAAAATAGTGTAAGAAAAAATGATTTTATTGTAAAAAAAAGCGTGGGGTGCATGGAATCAGTAGTTATAAATATTTTATGAACAGATATGAGTAGAAGGGTTATTTTGATAATATCCTGAAAAGCACCCCACGCTATTTTAGAATAAAATCATTTTTTCTTACACTATTTTTTATTCAAATTCATTTTCTATTTTTTAGTTGGATTTTCTATAAAAGCGTATTTTTTTTTGTTTTTTTTAACTATTATTTATTTTTCATTTTTTAGTTGAATTTCAATTTTTTCAATTTTCTTTTTTCATTTTTTTTTAATATTGAATTGACATCGGTCTCTGATAAGTATACTAAATTTCGAATTAATCCGACGTTTTGAAGGGGGTCAAAATCATGTTCAAAGATTCCGTTACAAACTAACATACACATACGTCTGAAGCTAATAGAGACGTATTAAAAATAGTGACTAATAGAAACTCACCTCTACAGAGAGCTTGGACATGTCCACGGGCGTGATTCGCTTGAGGGCCGACAGCCGCTGTAGCCGCTGCCGGGCCTGCTCCTCCACGGCGATGAGGAACGCATCTTGGATTATATTGTGCCCGATATCTGATACTGAAAAAAATACGTATCTTTTTCTACATTCTAATATTGAATTAACATAAGACATACATAGTTGACAATACATGTGAGACTTTCAGTAACCATTTTACACCAGGTGGGATGTGAGCTCATTCGCTTGACTGAACAATATTTTTTTTAATATTTCTAGCTCGCTACTATTCTTATATTTCGTTTGGAGCTTCTGCGCCTACAAAGGGAATTCGGTTCCCTCTATATTTTGTACCGTATGTTCTATAAGGAGCGCTCTGACGTCCATGAGCGACGGTGACCACTTACCATCAGGTGGGCCGTATGCCAGCAAAGGCAATAAAAAATTTAAAAAAAATTATGAGATGATCCCATCATCTTGTTTTTAACATCGCACCGCCCGCCACCAAAGTAGAGTTCATCCATAGAGCGTTTCCGTATTTTTCGTACACTCCAGTTTAAGAATAAATTTCCCTCCTCGGTGTTTGCTGAGCGCTATGTCATGTCTATCTTCAAACGAGATTTATGGAGAATACTCAATTAAAGGCAGCTAGGTCCTTTTCTCATCTACCTACAAGACTAATAACAAAAATTTATAATAGTATAAAAAGAAAACGAATATAGTTGGACGTCTTGTGAGTCCGCACGGTTAGGTATCACCACCCTGTCTATTTCTGCCGTGAAGCAGAAATGCGTTTCGGTTTGAAGAGTGGGGCAGCCTTTGTAACTATACTGAGACCTTAGAACTCATATCTCAAGATGGGTGGCGGCATTTGCGTTGTAGATGTCTATAGACCTCGGTAACCAATTAAAATCAGTTGGGACGTGAGTTCGTCCATCCATCAATGCAATAAAATAAAAATAAAACCATATAAGGTGTCACCACCCTGCCTATTTCTCCCGTGAAACAGTAATGCGTTTCGGTTTGAAGGGTGGGGCAACCGTTGTAACTATACTGAGATCTTAGAATAGATATCTCTAGATATCTAAGCTGTGAGCTCGTCCACCCATCTAAGCAATAAACTAAGAAAAAATAAAAGAACATAAAAATCTGCACGAAGAGACCAGATAAAGGAGACAGGTTGTACATTGACGACGGCCTGACTGCATCTATCAGCTGATTTCATCCTGAGCCATTTAACGGTCGAACGTAAAAGCGGGCTCTCTTAAAAATTTACTCGATCCCTGAGAACTCATAATCTGGGCTGCTATAATCCATCGCAGCACCGGAGGCCGGACGACGTATAAAATATTTAAGAGCCCCGCCCTGATTTTCTCTTCATAAATTATAAGTAAGTTAAAGGAGAGAGCTCGGAAAACGTTAAGTGGATTAAAATCTTTAGCGTGTTTACTAACGAAAAAGTTTAGCGGCACACTTGAATCCGTACGGGTCTGAACAAGTTCTCTTTATTTAGTGCTGTTTGTTTTAAGTGGACACTCAAGTTTAAAAAAGTTAAAAGTTCGATAATTTCTGCGCGAGCTCTCAGGATCCCTATTGTTAAAATGTAACATGGCTAAATAATAGGTTGGGGAAAAAGTATTTTCGTATTATAGTATGTTTTTTTTTATTGCTTAGATGGATGGACGAGCTCACAGCCCACCTGATGTTAAGTGGTTACTGGAGCCCATAGACATCTACAACGTAAATGCGCCACCCACCTTGAGATATAAGTTCTAAGATCTCAGTATAATTACAACGGCTGCCCTACCCTTCAGACCGAAACGCATTACTGCTTTACGGCAGAAATAGGCAGGGCGGTGGTACCTACCCGTGCGGACTCCCAAGAGGTCCTACCACCAGTGTTTACGCAAATTATAATTTTGCGGGTTTGATTTTTATTACACGATGTTATTCCTTCACCGTGGAAGTCAATCGTGAACTTTTGTTGAGTATGTATTTCAATAGAAAAATTGGTACCCGCCTGCGGGACTCGAACACCGGTGCATCGCTCTACGAATGCACCGGACATCTTATCCTTTAGGCCAAGACGACTTTTATGTGTGAACTTGTAATAAAATCTCTTTGGCTATACTATTTGTATCTGGCTGGTTTTGGTATCATTAAAAGTTTAAATTTTTAAGAACATAATTCCAAATTCAAATTAGGAAAATGTGTGACTTTTTTTAATTTTTCGTACTGTCAAGATGAGTGAATCTAATGAAGAAATTTGATACATTTTAAAATTTTACTACAAAAAAGGTAAAAATGCAACGCAAGCCGCGAAAAAAATTTGCAATGTTTATGGACCTAGTGCAGTGTCTGTGAGAGTAGCACAAATTTGGTTTGAGCGTTTTCAATGCGGAAATTGTGATATCAAAGATGTACGTCGCTCTGGTCGCCCTATTACAGAAAAAATGGATGCCATTTTTGAAAAAGTGGAGCAAGATCGGCATTTCAGTAGTCACGACGTAGCTGAAGAACTGGGAATTGACCACAAAACAGTTTTGGCGCATTTGAAAAAACTGAGTACACAAAAAGCTCCATATTTGGGTACCTCACGAGCTCACTGAAAGAAACCTAATGGACCGTGTACTCATTTGTGATTCTTTATTACGACGTAATGAAACCGAACCATTTTTGAAGAAGCTGATAACTGGTGATGAAAATTGGATCACGTACGACAAGAACGTCCGAAAAAGGTCGTGGTCAAAGGTCGGTCAGGCTTCACAGACTGTGGCGAAACCCGGGTTAACTCGCAACAAGGCGATGTTGTGTGTGTGGTGGAATTGGAAGGGCATTATTCATTATGAGCTGTTATCAACAGGCAGGACCGTCGATTCTGAACTTTACTGCGAACAACTGATGAGATTAAAGCAAGAAGTTGAGAGAAAGCAGCCGGAATTAATCAACAGAAATGGTGTGGTTTTTCATCATGATAACGCTAGACGTCACACATCTTTAGCCACTCAGCAAAAATTAAGAGAGCTTGGCTGGGAGGTGTTAATGCATCCGCCGTATAGTCCTGACCTTGCACCTTCAGATTTCCACCTGTTTCGGTCTCTTCAGAATACTTTAGGCAGTGTCAGGTTAACATCACGAGAGGACTGCCAAAACCAATTGTCGCGGTATTTTGATCTGAAGCCCCAAAATTTCTATAGCAATCGGATCATGTCCCTACCTACGAGATGGCAAAAAGTTATCGAACAAAATGGTACCTACATACTTTAGTTAAATGTAAATAAACTATATTAAAAATGTTGTGAATTTTCTTAAAATATGCGAAGAAACTTTTTCCCCAATTTATTATAATTTATAGCACCTTAGATAGAAAGCTGGCATTGAATAATAATGTTTTTTGTTTGCCTACGAAGACAGATTAGCCTACCACTTAAATCAGCAGTATCAGGAGCCCGGGCCAACCGCTGCCTTCCGGTAAGACCTTGTTTAAAGAAGGATGATACATCACTTGGCTAATTCATTATTTTCCAAAGACTGCGTTTGTGCCGATTCAAAATTCATGAGTAAAATTGTTTTCAGCGTTTCAAAAATAATCTACCTGATTTGTTAAATGAAATTAGCAAAATAACCCTACGAATGGTTTAAAACGTTTACGGTTATCAACGTTACATATTTAAATATACTAGAGGCCCCGCAGTACTCGAAATTCGACTATAATTAATTGGAATTGTAAGTTTGTACACTATTATGATTGTATTTTATACTTCTATAATCACAAATTTCGCCAAGACTACACTATAAAAAATATTAACAAAGACAAACAATATTTAATCTATTCTCAATTTGACAACAGACGTCAAGAACAAAAGTTTGTCAATAAATAGTATGCATGCGTATGTGCGTCAAATACATGGTATGTAGTGTGTGTAATGTTTTCTTTATTGATTTAATGTACACTATTATGATTGTATTTTATACTTCTATAATCACAAATTTCGGCAAGACTACACTATAAAAAATATTAACAAAGACAAACAATATTTAATCTATTCTCAATTTGACAACAGACGTCAAGAACAAAAGTTTGTCAATAAATAGTATGCATGCGTATGTGCGTCAAATACATGGTATGTAGTGTGTGTAATGTTTTCTTTATTGATTTAATGTATCTTATAAGTATTATTTTAAAAAAATATTAGCATTGTGCACTTCTTCTCTATATTCCCTATAAGTGTGGAAAATTTCATACTCCTCCGTCCGCGCAATTTTCGTAAAAAGGGATACAAAGATTTTGCTTCACGTATTAATAATTATATTTAAATATATACTATTATTTCAAAAGTTCTTAGAAAGACTTGTTTTTAGTAAGTTCGCGCAATCAAAAAAACTTGTAGATATCTCGATAAATTCATTATGATATACAATAATGTAAATTTATATTATCTTTACTATATTAATGAGGTGACTTAATTTTTTTGGACATGAGACATCTAGCAAATATATTTTATGAGTAAAACAAAATGAAACCGAAATTCACAGGCACTTTCGAAGAATTTCTTGAATTGTCGTTAATTAAAAAAAAAATTCCGGAAGTAGCACCGAAAAATGAAAATTTTGATTTCGAAAAGTTGCCCCTTTCATGCTCCATTAGGGTGGAGGTGGTGATTAAGATACGATACAGAAAAGAACATAGTATTTGAATAAAAATGATATTCTTCTATTTTTAGGTACCCGTTTTTGTTCGTCATCATTATTTCTTTCGCAATATGCAAGGCCTTAGAGTCACTGATATCGCATCATTATAGTAAACTTTATATGCAGTGTCTTCGTGATTTATTAAAGAGATTTTGTTGAGTCCAGTCAGGTTGGAATTTGGAAATCCTAGTGCTGCCGATTGCCAATCTAAATTGCGTATATACGGTAGTCGGTAAACGGTGCTTTTAGGTACCTCAAGCAACGGTCACCGTCCTCGCCGAACCTGTCGCTTGCGACGAAGGGCTCGACGAGTATATTAACCCTCAGACACAGCCCACTGAGTTTCTCGCGGGATCTTCTCAGTGGGTCGCCTTTCCGATCCGTTGGTAAATTCTGCGAAGCACTGATCTTGCTAGGGCCAGTGTTAGCA